CAGAGAGCTGCGAGTGCGAGCGCCCCCCCCCCCAGATGTTGCGCCCGGTGCGGCCGCCCCCCCTGCACCCCCCACGCTACGCCACTGGGGAGAATTGTTTCAAAATGTGAAACAAACTGCACTTACTTTAGAAAGTGTTGTTTCCTTCCAAATTTGCATACCAATCTTGCCACAGAAATTATCTGGGCCTCCCGTGGCAATGATGGCTCTAGAAGTGCCCCTGAACTACCATGTACTTGTTAATTCAGAAGGAAGTGCAATCTTATCCAAAATCTGTGAACTTCCCAACCTCCTGATCTAGGAACTGCTCACCTACAGAGTTTCCATCTCATCTTTGCAAAATAATTGATAAAAGTGAGAACTGTGAAGGAGATCATTAGGAAAGGCATGGGACAGGACTCTGAATGGATAGCAAAGACACACAGAAGTCAACTGTTATTAAAGTGCTATTTAAATAAATAAATAAATAAATAAATAAATGGTTTTGCTATAAAGTATGACTTCTATCTGCAGAAAAATTATAATTAACCTTTAACTGATTCGGAAAAGTGAGATGGTTTGAGATGATAAAAATGTTACTATTAAAAGGGTCAGTCTTTAAACTTCTAGTGTGTGTGTGAGCTTTCTGTGGCATCCTGTTTCTAAAAATACTGACCTAGTGGCTTTACTCGATTTCCTCACAATAAAGAGCATTTGCTTTCTTCATTCTTGAAAAACATTTTTAAAAATATAGACTTGTTAAATATATAAATTAGTTGACTGTGTGCACAATCTTTAATGCATGATCTTTAGTATGCAGTACTGGAAATTTATGTAATAATTCAATGGAATTTAACAACCCTGAACTATGATCCCCATCCTATGGCTCCTATTTCTTCTGAAGGAGGAGTGCCTGGAACTCAATCTCAGTCACATAACTATTTTTGGCTGGTGTTTTTCTACAGAAGAATCATGGTAGTTAATTTTAAACATGAATGTTAGCCCTAAAGCTGAATAGCGAATTCATTTTCTGGTTTGGTTAAAGAGCAAGGTCCAGGAATGCTTTAATAACAGAGCAGCAATTTCACTGTACTTATGTGACAATCTCTTTATGCAGTATTGCTTATTTCACAGCACACTTGCCAAGCTTAACAGCCACTAGCTTATACAATACAGAAGGAAAATGAACAGCCAATCCTTCTTGCATGTTCACATGAAGAATCTACCTGGATGTCTCATCAACACTCCTGCACTTCCTGTTTCTGCCTTGAAAATAATAATATTTTTTATTATTTATACCCTGTCCATCTGGCTGGGTTTCCCAGTTCCCTTGATTGAGATGGATGGATGGATGGATTTCTATACTGCTTAATATATTTAAAATATCTTTAAGCAGTGTGCAGAAAACTGAAGCAACAACAGACAACTTAAACAGAGTATTACAAAAATGCACAGTTACACCATCCCTGTCACCCACAAAAGTCTCACTCTAGACTTGCTTTTTATGGGCAGGCCCAAAGTAGACAGTACTTCCTCAGGCTGTCCACAGTTCCAGGTACAGCAGGTTTGTTGAGTTTCCCAGGGGGTCCAAAGAATGGGAAGATGGGGGCCCTCCATCTCTCAGCTTTTTCTTCACCCTCTGCCCTCTCCTCCTCCTCCAGCTGCTCTTTACGTGCAAAGTTCAAGCCAAGAGAGTCCTGCTCTATGAAGTTGGTCACCTATAACATTTCTTTATATCTACTAAACCCACCAGTACAGGCCTCAGTATTATAGTAACTCAGAAAGCTCTCCAATATAAATTTGATGTTAAAAACATTTATTTATATTCATTAACTGAATGAAAAGCTTGAGCTAATCTTACAGGTCAGTGCTCTGAGCAGTTGAACTTAGCTATGTATTAGTTGCATCAAAATAATTGGATTATCTTTGTCTGCAACTGAGATAAATAAAACACAACATGGCTGAAGAAGTTAGGAAACAACCGTGACCACAAAGACTCCCAAATGTAACCATTAGTTTTAGGAAAGTTGGGCAAATACAATGCATACCAAATGCATCTCTTTCTGTAATCTATACATGATCAGGTATCCCCAAGTTATTTAGACAGTGTGTGTTCTTTTAACAGTGGAGTTGGAGGGGACCCAACTCCTTGCTCTGATTAAAGTTATCCCAGCAGATAATTATAAAAGAAAACACAATAACAACAAATTACTTTTGGCCTTCGAAAATAGATTGTACATTGCCTTTAGATATGAAGTTCCTCCAAATTTTAGGCTTAAAAAAACCAAGCCTCCATCTATCTAATTGCTATCTGGAGGCCCCTTGTGCTGGTTCTGAAGATACTTTGTTTTTATTCTTTCAGCACTTTCTCTCTTTTAAAAATTCTTTGCACATGTGTGATTCCTTTCCGGGATGCATTACAAACAACCTGAGGATTGTGAGGCAAGGGCTTCCCCAAGGTAACTGTGAGAAGCTCCTTCCCTCCCCCTCCCTTCACATTTCGGACTGGAAATGCTAGGTGCATCTACAAGCCTTGGCTAGCATGTCAATGATGTTCCTGAGACATTTTTTCAATGACCATTCAATTCATGACTCAGAAGTCAAATTTACGTTCTGCAAATTGCCTCCCCACTTTAAAGGTTTTAGTAAATTTCAGCCATTACGATTTCGTCAAGAATAAGGGAGTAGTAGAAAAGCAAAGGGAACCAGGAAAAGTGTGGAAGGAAAGTCATATGGTATATGTATGTATACATGCTGTATTGGCAAGGAAGTTGTAAGTGGGACGGGGGGGGGGGTTAAATATGCTCTCTGTCCCTGTTTTTGAAAATGCAAATAATTTAATAAATAAATAAATAAGGGATTAAAGTAACTTCAGAAAATGGCCAACAATGCAGTTGGTTTTCAGTGTCAAATTTGATGAATCTGCATGAATAATAATGTGATATAATGTTTTCTTTAAAAAAGTTTTATGTTTAATTGTAAGCACCAGAAGAATTTTAGAGCAAGGAAGATCTTCTCCAAATATATCTGGGCAACCAATCTATTATTTCCAGACCTTGATAACATCATTACTTTTAACAACATTATATTTAAGTGTCTTCTTGCACTGATTTCTGCAGACCCTTCATTTCCACAATGCCAAAATAATTTCAACACCACTATTTATACACTGCGTAAAAAAGGTAAACAGTGAATCAAGAGCCCCTAAAATTATCCAGACTTTTAATCTCTTCAACACCCATCTGCCCCTAAAAAGCGTAAATGTACACAAGTAAATATATAATATTAAGTGCTCAAAGGAAATGAGCATTTCTGGGGGAGTTGTAACAAACCAAACCGGCATTTTAATTCACACTAGCACCACAAAATTCATCGATAACTGTTGCTGCGTCAAACTATACATATTAAAGGAAAAGCTGTTTCTTAACATTCCAGGAAGGACAGCTATTTTACAAATGAGAGAGGTAAAGGATCTCTCAGTACTATCACTAATGATTTATAGGAACAGGAACTAGGAATGATTTGACTGTAAACAGAGAATTCCCAACCGGAAACAGAAATCACTTAACAATCCATCTAGTTGCTCAAGAAAACTTCCAAGCACGTTAAAACAACAGAAGAGAGCCAAAACACAGTTTTTATGCATGCTATACTAACTGGACATTGTGTTTTCCTAACTAATAATACCAACTGAAACTAAGAAAGGGCGGGGGCGAGAGAGAGAAAAGGCATTCCACAAGTATTACACACAAGCAACATTTGTGAAAGTTTAGTTTATCAAACATACAGCTACGTTTTTCCTGAATCTGAGCATGCTTAAAACTATCAGAAGTGCATGCACACACGAAGGAAGAATGTGGATTAGGGCAACTTTGGTAAACACACAAAAATAACAGCAGCAGCAACAAAACCAGAATGAAACCCTTTACCTGGATCAGATGACATGGCAGACATGTATGCAGATACACACACGTCAATCTAGTGCCGTTAAGCGTGCAGAGACTCGGTTTCGCAATGAGCAAGGATCATATGATAGGTTCACATACTGCTTAGCTGCGAGCTTTGCTGACCACATCTAGGAGGAGTTCTAAAATCATTACACACTGGAAGTTTACACTTCAGCGGGCGAGAGTCATGACCAGACCCACTGTCCCTTGAGGCACAGCTGTTTTTGCGCAGAGTGTGTATCGGCAAACATGCAAACGAGCAAGAAGTGGGGGGTGGGGGGGGAGAACAAGGTTTCATTCCAGCTAAAAGAGTTAACAGGGAAGTTCAACTTATGTAACTTTCAAACTGCTGGAGAAAAGCACTCTGTAAAACTACAAAGGCTGTTTTCATCTAGTGCCTCAGCTGCTTAAAAACTCTGAACTCTGTCACAGTTTAAATGCAATAACAGCTCTTTCCACAAGCTGGCCAGCAGTATCTTTTTTGCCTCCTAAACTTGTGGTTATTTTGCCTTCAGCAACTTCCCTGAATGAGCAAACATTTCAGCTGCTTATTGGAGGTGAACTGGGGGGAACTTTTTTTTTTTTTTAACCAAATCAAAAGGAAACTAAGAGTTGTGGTTATATACTAATTATTAAGAAATCCACTGATGTCTAAATTGTGGTGAACAGAAAGGAAAACCCTCTTGCACACTACATTTAGATAAAAACAGAGTAGCGTTTAGATACACATTAGCAGAGATAAAACTACTCACAAAACGGCCAAACCACTTGCCCACAAATAATTTTGGTCTTGGAACATCTCTAGGCTCAGCAAGTTTCAGTTTTTAAAAAATGAAAACGAAAATTTTCTAGTTGTAGTTTTGCCAAAACAACACCTAGCAAGTGTGATACTGGCAAAGCCCAAGTTATTGCCCTGTGCTGTTTGATTTAACATGGATATTCATAGCTGTCTACTTCTTGCTAGAAATAATAGAAACTGAGTTGGATGAGATCTCATGGAATCATAGAATTGTAGAGTCGGAAGAGGCCACAGGGGTCATCTAGTCCAACCCCCTGCAACACTGGAATTTTTTTTGCCCAAGGTGGGGCTCAAACCCATGACGCTGAGATTAAGAATCTCATGTTATAGCAACTCAGATCCCTGATAAGCAGCCATATAGGCTCCACTTTAAGTGGTTTCACTTTTTAAAAAAGGAAGAGGGAGTCTACCCTCTTACCAAGAGGCCTACTTTAGGAGCATGAATATAGCACCATTTCTGCTGTGCAAGCCTACTGATTACATTCTCCAGAATAAATATTGGCTATAGGTCATAGTTTGTTCGAAGCAAGACAAACCACAGACCTTGGTTCGGATGTAACAAACCACAAGCCTGGTTTGGGATGCAATGCTAAGCTAAAGGTGGGGTACCTTTTTCAATCTGAGGGCCACATTCACTTCCAGGCACATCACCATGGTCCATCATGGCAGCCATAAAGTTCTGATCCAATCGCCTTGGCATGAATGTTGAATTCTCCTCAAATCAACTGTCTGGGAGCCCTCAACACTGCCTCCAAGGCCAGCTCAGGCAGGGAGACTGCTGGGCAATGTGGTAGGTGCTCTTGCGCGCATGCTCAGGAGTCCCACTGCCAGGGCTGGATTTAGATGAAGAAAGGCCCTAGGCTACTCCACTTGTGAGGCCCCTCCCAATCCCCCACCCTCATGACTAGAAGAAAATGAAAGAGTGTTATAAACAAAATCGAATGACGCCAAGGATGATGATGGGTATTTAAAATTCTGCCATTCACAATTTCTCCTCTAAAGGACATCAGAAAACGTCATCAAAATTTGTTTACAAACTTGCACAAGAACTCAATAACAGGTCTGATTTCTGAAGGACTTTGCTGACCTTGTGATAATGACCTAGCACACGGATTTATATCTCTAAGATTATGCCCCATAGAGCCCCACACAAAAAATTCAAGTTGGGCCCTAGAGTTTCAAATTGGGACCCACTGGCTGGCCCTGGGTCTCATAGTTGCTGGGCCCGAGTTGTCCTGCCCTCGCATGAAGTCTTGGGTTTGTAATTTTGGGAGAGGGGAGACTGCCCGCTGGGGGGAGGGTGGGCTGGGGAGGCTCCCTAGATTTAAAGACCCTAGACTTCAGCCTACTTAGCCTATACATAAATCCGGCACTGCCCACTGCAAAGCAGGCAACCACAGGCACCTGGCTCCTCCTCCAATGTACCTGGGGTCCTCCCCTCTCACACAGGGGTGCTGTGCAACCATGCCAATGTGTTTCAAGTGTTCTGAGCATTTGAATTACATTAAACAGGGGTCTTCAAACTTTCCACCACAGGGTATACCTGCAAAAACTAAAAACTACAGAGGTTTATGTGTGATAAGAGACAACAAAAACTGTGGTTTTTTAAAAAATGAGAAAAGGACCAACTGAGAGGCATAGAAAGTTGATTGGGGGTTCTGTAAACTACCATAGCCCCAAATCAGCTTGCTGTCTCTTCTAGGCTAATGTACAAATGCTGAACTCAGGGTGTCTGTTTAAGGCCAGGGGTCAGCAAGGTTTATATTGTTTGGGCCGGATTGGTCCCGCGGAGATCCCTCCATGGGCCGGATTGTGCACGCGTGTGAGCGTGCTTGCCTTCGATTTCTGGCATCTGCGCATGCGCAGACGCGATTTCTGGCACCACGGAAGCGAATCCCCGCACTGCACTGCACCGGTTTATTGAAGTGCGCAAGCGGGTAGCTTGGTAAAGGGCTGGCTCGTGGGCCGGCCAAACAACCTCCATAGGCCTCTACCAGCCCATGGGCCTTAGATTGCTGACCCCTGGTTTAAGCTATGCCTTTTCCTTGCACTCAAACTTTGTACTTGCAAATAAATATTGTAAAATACCGTAAGCTACCAGAGATGTCCTTCCAAAGGAAACTAAACGCAGGTAAGCAAACACACCCCTGAAACTTGTCAACACTGGAAGTGAGCTGGGCATAACAATGGGGTAATTTTGAAATCAAAGACCAACTTTTTCAAATAAAAATAAAGTCTACATATTGGCATTTTTAGGTTGAAGCAACAAGGTGAAATTAAGGGGCACAGCCATACCTTATGAAACACATTTCAGGTATGCTATTACAAACCCATGCCATAGTTAGGGAAAATAAAAGTCTTCAATATAAAATATGGCACAGGCTTATGTGAAAACAATTTCACTCTCAATTAAAAGCTTGGTCTATCATTCCTAGAAACCTCAGTTTTCTAAAAGGAAAGTTAAGAGATCAACGGCTTTATCCGTGGATGATTAAAAAGATAAGGGGATACATGAGAGATTAAGGGAGATACAGTGCTGACCATCTCATTAATCTAATCCAAAAAGTCTACAACTGATTTTGTACTTAGCAGTGCTTAGACTAACCAAGGTCAATGAAATAAAGCTGTTCAAGCGCCTAGGAGGTAAAGCTCAGATCCCTCCACTTTGAAATGGTAATAGTAAATTCACACATTCCTATTGTAAAGATGTCAATGTGGTGATCAGAGATCAAACTACAATAATTTTTGTTGTGCCCATTAAGATAAGAAAGCTCATTGTTGGTGCAGTGGTTACTCCTACACTCCTTTCTATTAACAGAATTTTAAAAGCTCAAGAATCAATGTATTTGCTTCTTTGTAGAGAAGACAGTATGGAGTATGGAGTATGCAGGATGCAGATTCAGTTCTTCCCATGTGTCCCCACCCCCACCACAGAGACCTTGTTTACAAACTGCTTCCAAGGCTGCTCAATGTGGCAGAATCCAAATCCAAATTCCCATTTACAACAGCAAAGCATCATCCTCCCATTATTATGAGGAATTTTCAATGACTGCAGCAGGGGGAGGCAACCTAAGGCCCAGGGGCCGGATGCGGCCCAATCGCTTTCTCAATCATGCTGGCCACATGACCCGGAAGCTGTACGCCGGCCCCCTCGGCCCATAAAGCGAGATGAGCGCCGCAACCCCAGAGTCGGCCACGACTGGACCTAATGGTCGGGGGTCCCTTTACCTTTACCTAAAGGTAAAGGACCCCTGACAGGTAAGTCCAGTCGCGAACAACAGATTTTCCGGGTCATGTGGCCAGCATGACTAAGCCGTTTCTGGCGAAACCAGAGCAGCGCACAGAAACGCCATTTACCTTCCCGCCGGAGCTGTACCTATTTATCTATTTGCAATTTGACGTGCTTTCGAACTGCTAGGTTGGTAGGAGCTGGGACCAAACAATGGGAGCTCACCCCATCACGGGGATTCGAACCGCCGACCTTCCGATCAGCAAGCTCAAGGTTCAGTGGTTTACACCACAGCGCCACCCGCATCCCATTTTCATTGATAAAATAACACTGAATCACTGAGGCCTCAATCTAAAGGGCATACCGGGGTGTGGGTGTGGGTGTGTGTCACTAGCTCCTATTTTTAAGAGGAAGGCATCCTACAGATCTTTTAAACAATCTGAAACAAAGAGCTTAATAGTTCTCCATTTTAAAGGTTATGTGTTCCATTTAAATTGCTCTCCACCTTAACATTTCTTTTGGTATCTCTGATGCAACACCAGTTTTAATTAAAAGAAGCAGAAGAACATTGCATGCAGCAGGTTGCAGATTCAATCCCTCAGAGCCCAGGTGGCCCCTGGAACGTCTTGCAATTTTTCTTTAGAATTCCCCTCGGAAACAAAAACATACACACATAGAACTGTATAATGGTTTCTGATGTTTTCACTATTAGTTATTGGCAGCAAACGCTATACTAGTCAATAAATGGTGTGTAATGAAGTTCCTTCTCAGCAGAAGTGGTTAGATAAAGCTTGTGATGAATAGAATTTATTGACCCACCAAAGGTTAGCAAGTTTAGGCGAGTTTAAGTCAGAGGTGCTTGGGACTTTTCTTCCAGTTCATCACTATATAGATAAATGGGGATAAGTTTTTCCTTTATCTCTGGGTAAGTACAGACTCCCTACCCAATCTCAAAAAATATGAACACTTGTCCAGAATGTTATGTACTGAAGTTCTCACCCTGGGCCAGCAGGGGGATACTGTAGATAGTTCAGGTCCACATATGCAAATAAGGGATCGAAAGTGACGTTCAGTGATTGGATAGTTACAGAAAATGGTTACTGTTGTGCTCTAGTGGAGCTCTATATAAGCAGGCTGGCTGAACCCTTCAGTTCAGTTCTGTTCTGGCCTGTGAATAAACAAGAGCTGTTTGAAGAATCACTGTGTCGTCTGATATGTTCACCCACAACTTAACACAGAAGAGAAGAGTTGACAAGAAATACAGAGAACCTAACTGGCAAACAGTTGTAGCATACAGGCGGCAACTATTTTAGGCATGTCCAATTGATGTGTGGGTCCTTTTGGACCTGGAAGAAGGCAAAACAGGGATGGAACAGGGTGGGGTGTGCTTATATGCGCTCAGCCTACGCACTCAGGGACCGGGAACAAAAAAACCGTGCAAAATGGCCGTCGCCTGTACAGCAGAAAGCATGTTCCATTTACAAAAGCATCTGTATATAGGCAGATGGAAGGTTTTATGGCAAGGCTCCAGCATTTTCAGACCAAATGAGGCCAAAGCAATGCTTATTTCATACAAGCGGTCAGTCTGTAGGGAAAACAGACTTGCGAGATATGCAACGGCTCTATTCCGGATCAAAACAAAAAGGGCTTTCTATAAGCAGCAGCAAAGCATTGCTCGCAAGGGCCATGTAGGAATAGTGGCTTCTATTATCAGATAGCCTGGATAAATCTTCTGGCTCCCACTAGGGATAGGGAAGGCCTCATTGTGACCACAATTTTCAAACTTTTATGTTGTATGTATGTTGTAGTAGTTTCCAAGATAAAGAAGCCTCTGTCCAAACTTCCCGCCACAATGCGTCTGAAAGAGGAACACCAGCCTGTCATGGAATGTATCGGCAGCTTGCCAAGAAAAGTCTCTGTACTGTATGAAATGCCCCTCGCATAAAAAGTCTATCTCAAAAGAGTTCCTTGAATTCCCATCAATCTCAAAATTTGTTATTTATTTAAAACATTTCTGTCCTACTCTTCAGCCGAACAAGGATCCCAAAGCAGCTTACAAGTTATCAATGCCCCTCAGGGTCACAATCAAAATATATGATCAAGGGTTGTGACAGAGGCAAAGCAAAAAACCTTT